AGGAAGTGTTTTGAGGAGAACCCAGGAGACCTCAGGTTGGTATTTGCACATTCAAAAACAGTTGCTTTCATCACATGAGGATGTTTGAACGCAACCTCCCAATATTTTGTTACTGGTGAAGAAGAAGAAGGAGGAGGAGGAGGAGGAGGAGGAAGAGAGAAGAAGAGAAGGAGAAGAAGGAGAAGGAGAAGGAGAAGAAGAAGGAGAAGGAGAAGAAGGAGAAGAAGGAGGAGAAGGAGGAGAAGAGGAGAAGAAGAAGAGGAGGAGAAGAGGAGAAGAGGAGGAGAAGAGGAGAAGAGGAGAAGAAGAAGAGGAGAAGAAGAGGAGGAGAAGAGGAGAAGAAGAGGAGGAGAAGAAGAGGAGGAGAAGAAGAGGAGAAGAAGAAGAGAAGAAGAAGAAGAGAAGGAGAAGAGAAGGAGAAGAGAAGGAGAAGAGGAGGAGGAGGAGGAGGAGATTGGATTTATGCCCCGCCCTTCACTACCCAAAGGTGTCTCAGAGCGGCTTACAAACTCCTTCCCCTTCCCCTCCCCACAACAGGCACCCTGTGAGGTAGGTGGGGCTGAGAGAGCTCTGGCAGAAACTGCTCTTTTTCAAGAACAGCTCCTTATCAGAGCTAAGGCTTGCCCAAGGTCATCCAGCCAGGTGCAAGTGGAGGAGTGGGGAATCAAACCCGGTTCTCCCAGATTAGAGTCCGCACACTCAACCATGACACCAAACTGGCTCTCATCATACCCAGGTATAAGATAAAGAAGAAGAGATTGGATTTATACCCAGCCCTTCACTACCCGAAGGTGTCTCCGAGCAGTTTACTGTGGCATGCTTGCTTATGGGGGAGAGACTGTTTTTCCTTTAAACCACCCTCTGTGTATATAAACGTGGTAGTTTTCTGCCGCCACCCAGAATTAAAAATGCCAAATCTCTCTCTCTGCTGGTGGTATGACCTAGGGTCTGGGCACTTCAGAGGACTATGTGGCCCTGAGGAACTGTACTGATTTCAGGGATATGTTTAAACAAAAATTGATTTATTGAATAAAGAACAAAATAGGGTTCTGGTTATCTTGAACTGTTTCTGGAAAAAGGAACTTGTAAATACAACTGGCAAGGTGTCCCACACAGTCTCTCAGACATCAAAATCCCACACTGACCGGCTTCTCTCACAGTTTAGACACTACTTGTTTCTTTGCCATATAGACTGTCTCACAAAACGTTTAGAGTCACACAGACTCTCTTCATAGCTCTTCCACACTTCCCTTTCCAAAAACATATATAGAACTCTGTCATCAAAACACACACAGATTCCTCTCAGAACATCTCTTCCAGCACTCTCAGTCATCAGCCAATCACAGCACACTCATCTCCCCCTATCGCCCTCCTTGCATTACCGCAGTCAAACTAACATTTATAGAACAC